TTTGTGCTGCATAATCCTCCATCCTCCTTGGAGGGAGGGAGCTCTGGTTTCTGGTCCTTGTCTTTGGTGCTGATGCTTTTTTAATTAAATACCTATTCAATAAAATGTATAAATTACATTGGGATGCCTTATATTTTCCTGTCACTATAGCCCACGTCTACATAAACACTGCATCACACAGCACTACATATGCTTCAGTGTTTAGTTGGGGCTCTGCTTAATCAAACATTCCTAACTAAAAAATGTCTAGATTGCCTAAATCCTGTTTTGAATCTTACCTCTAGTCCTAATGAGTACAGTAATGTTCAAGGGCTGGTTACATATACTCTTACTCTTGTTTAGCAGTAGTGTCCTCCTTCAATAATATCATTGAAATCATCAAGTATGACTTGCCATGAATAAAGTTGCATAAATTTAAGGCAGCAAATGTGGCTACTTTCAACACAGATATACATTGTATATCAGCCACTTTTCAAAGTTAGAGGTGATTTCTCCCAGAAAACAGAGGAGAACAAGGAGAAGGTGCAACTAAGGCTATTTTCTCCAGCTAGTCCTTCATTCCCAAAAACAACCAGGTGTTAAGATTGAAAGTATTTCTATTACTGATAATAAATAATACCTAAATATAGAATAGCTCTTTTATAGACAACATTATTGTGAATTGCTGTTTATAGGAAATTATTAACGCATTCATATTTTTAGCAACAGTCCTTTGGCAGCAGCTTGGCTTGAAACCTTTCTCATTATAATAAGTAGAGAGAAATAGTTAGCCATGTTAGTCTGAAGTTAGGCAGAAGACAAGTCAGTGTGACACCATACAGATAAACTCATCTGTAGCAAATTAATTCATAACTAGTTCATCCTACTTCATCAGATGCCATAAAACAGAGCTATGAAATTAATTAAGTTATAGCCTACAAGAGCTTGTAACTCTCTGAACAAGTTAGTTTATAAGGTGCAACACTACTCAGTCTTCTTCATTATATTAATTTTTTGTTTTTTCAGTAATATCCATAGGCCCCAGTCAGGGGTTTTCACTAAACAATGCTAGATATTGTAGAAAACACTAAAGAAAAGTACTTGATCCAAAAAATTACAAACTTGGTTATCTTTCATGTCCCCATTTTGATGCATGAAGAGGTATAAGGGACATGCATAGTCCTAGTGGAAAAAAATGAAGTGTTAATTTAGAGGAGGATGTAATGTGAAAACAAGTGTATTTTAGTAAAATATGTTCTGTATAATCTTGATCAGGTTATACAGCTTATCTCAAGGCTCCTTTTTATGTTAGAAGAAATATTGATTTATTTCCAGTAGTGGTTTGTTTTTTGTTTGTTTTGTAGGATTGAAACAACATTGGCCAAAATCAGAAAAAAGGAAGACTGAAAGACAGCAAAATCTATAGGTCTTTTGAGCCTTGGTGTATTGTTATAATTCGACATAGCATTAGTGAACCTGCTTCTTGGATAAACTTTGGTTCTCTTTGGAATATGCAGCTGTCTATTATTGTCCTGTACACAACTCTCAGCATCTTAAATGTGAAGGACCATAGCTCTCCAAAATGATTCCTGCTTAGTTAAATGCAAACTATTATTACAATTCCAATAAATAATATTCACTCATAAAGCAATAGTCCCATAGCATCATCGTAGAAGTGCTGCACATATGTTGTTTGATGTGATCAGTCAAGGATTGATAATTATCAGCTGCCTCACAGCTCATAAAGTTAATTCCCATACTTTCATATTACCATATTACTGGTATTCGCTTATGTTAGAAAAAACATTAATGTAGATGTACACTCCGTTATATGCTAAAGCTCAATTTATGCTTTGTTTTTCCACCAGGATCTTCCGAGTAATCATTTCAGTTCAGAGTAATAAATGTGCTGCCTTATCCTCAGACAGTGGTATCCCCAGACAGACTGTTAATGGTTATGGCACTATAAAATCAGCAACTGAGACTTCTGTGGGCCACTTGAAAGAGCTTTGTGGAAAGGGAGGTGTCTTATCACTGTAGGAAATTACTGCAGTAGGATTCCACTACAACTAATAAAACATTGCACTGTGCGAGGTGTAGATAATGAGACCACAGCTCCTGTTTGATTCCAAACCTGATCAGTGAACTAATGTCAGTATGAGGACCGTGTTTATAGTACATGATACACATCATGGAGGAAAGAGAAGAAAAGGCCATATACTTGTGAAGAAATACTTTGCAGAAAAGAACACAGGTGAAAAGGCAGTTGCAACACACTATATAGTCTTTCCCTTTATAGGGTCTGGTACAAGATACTTCCCTTGTGTAGACAGAAGGCAAGGTAGAGGTGTACCTTACAGACTAACTGAATCATAGATGCATAAGCTCACACCTTTCTCTGTAGACAGGGGTTTTTTTCCCTTTGAGAATGGGTAGTGCCATTTCATGGGTCATGTGTTTGCTTCTAAGAGGTTCATTAAAGAGTGAGAGAGATAGTGGAAAACAGACTCATTCCCTATCAGAAAACATTATAGTACTACAGTATTTAATTTCTTTTTTGCCCAAATACTACTGCAATACAGTGAAGTTTTGAACCAAAGCAAATATTCAAACAAACCCCCTGAGCTACTACATGATGGAGCAGTGAGGCTGCCCTGACACGTTTGTGATTGGGGAATGTCAGGGCAGGAGTTCCTCTCCATAGAGTATGCCAGGCTTGAGACCAGAGGAATTGGATTCCCTCCCTCCTGCATTGACTCCATGCTGTAAGCAGAAGACAACCAGGCTGGTCCTGGTAAGAAGCCTATGCTGACTTTCAACAGTATCCACAGCCGCAGGCATAAAGGCCACACAGGTCAGAGTGACTAGCTGCCAGTTTCAGGTCAGCTTCACCCAGAACTGACATTTAGCATTCCCTCAGCATTTGGGGGCAAACAAGCCGAGGAGACTTCTGTACCTATAGGAGATTTCAGTCTTCCTTGGTCTCAGCACAGTGCACAGTACTGACAAGGTCATTAGATAAGCTTAAGAAGAAGATTCTTAAGATATGCCCCAAATTTAAGCAATTTATCTAATATAAACTGTATATGTATATGTGTGTACGTGTATGTATGTTAAATGTAGATGCTGCCTAGTTTACCTTTGCAGACAGAGAGCCCAGATGCTTCTAATTTTAAATCTTCACGTTTCATATCTTCGTGTGATGATTTTACATTTCAGTGCTAATTTCACAAAAAAGCTAAAAACTTTATTTAATACAAGTTTTAATCAAGAACTGTGATTTATAGATTCCAGATGCCAGCTAAAGTCCCTCCCAGTTAAGCAGTGCAAATGCAAATGAATTTAACAGCTTTGCAGATGTGCTCTGTAGGAGGCTGCTCTCCAATTCCTTTGAAGTTTGGACACTTCTTTGAATCAGCAATGGAATACTCATGCATAGTACCTGGACATATGCTGTGTGCAAATGAAGCTGACATGTCAAATGGTAGCAAAGCAGTTAACTAAACCTTTAACAGCTGAGCTAAAAATACTCCGTAATATAGACAATCAATGTTGTGGTGACCTGCCAAAAAGTGCGATTAGTTAGCCTCTGAATTCTGCAGAATCCATCACTGCAGAAAGAAGTGATCGCAATACAGATTTCCTCTTTTCCCCAATGGAATCCCTCAGATCCTTCCCTGCAGGGATTCACATTTAAGTGAGCTCCACTGTATGTAAAAATCATTTGTATGTAAATACAATTCATTGTACTTCAAAATATATGAGCTGCTACCAGGATAGAGAGCATGTGCCTGGAAACAAATGGGCCTGCTTTGGGTAGAAGTTTCTAGTTTATCATAATGGGGGGGAAATAAATGAGGTTGTCTGAACCTGCATAGGTCAACATTTCATATTAAATGAAATGACAAAGCTTATGGCTATTTAATCTCTCTTAAGCCATCTTTAAAGACGAACTAATTTTCTTATGTTCTGTTGGAATATACCACACTCAGTGAGGATTTGTTCATCCCAAACAGTCTTTTTTTGCTTGTTTTACTTTTGTGTCTGTTTTCATTAAATGCAATGAGTCTTTTAAACAGAAATATGAAAAATAACATTCTTTTTTTAAAGATCTCTCCAGAACAGTGAGTTTCAACCAGGGTGCCACAGCACCTTGAGGTGCCTTTGAAATCCTTTTAAGGGTACCATACAGTGTTAACACTGTTAGATGTGTAAACATGATTCACAAGATAAACCCAGAGCTTTCAAATTGGAATCACCAGTATTAAAAACATTCTGACTTGTGGGCTTTTTGAGTTCTTTCCAAGAGATAAATCGCTTTATTATTTTTCCAGAATCAAGAAACAAATGTAAGCTAAGAACTAGCATTTTCTGAGGGGTGCCTTAAGTCTAAAAGTTTGAGAACCACTGCTCCAGAAATATGTAGAAAAATATTGTGAACTACATTAGCATTCAGTAGAACATTTGGTAAAAACTGGATGGAGGAGGATGTACACACAAAAGATAGAGTTGTGCTGTAACTTGCAGTAATATTTGAACTAAATAACTTTCATTAGTGCATTTGTTGAGTAAAAATTATTCCTCCATGAAATACTTTAATTTGGGGTTAAAAGAATATGGGTCATTTTGAGATAAGGTCATTTACCACAGAAATACCTGACTTATTTTTTACTGTTGCTGTTGTCTAACTATAAATTCTATTAATGGGCCTGCTACTGTAAGAGGGGGAAAATGTAATTAAGTTTTATGGCTATTGTTTTAGAAAGTCTGGGATAAAAACAAACGACTGTCTCCTGAAATAATTGTCTGGCATTAAGACCAAACCTTTGCAGTTCAGAACTATCCTAGTCTATCCTCGTAAAGATGTTCTGGGGACTTGTTTACTAAACTCAGATTGATGCTAATAGGAGTTATCCTGGTAAATCCCCCTGTGTGCTGATAAAGTAAGAGCCTTTCCTGTAGTAGAGCTTTTCAATTAGACTACATTTATTTCTCTTTAAATGAGCTAATTTTGTTTATATTTTGTGATCTGAGGACATTTTTTCCCCTTCTTTCTCTAGGTGTATTTCTAAGAAGAAGAATATTGGCTATGAAGAGGTGTATGTGGTAATCTGTTTCTACTCATTCAACTGAAGAAAATGAAGATACGCTTTGGCTCTTCAGAATCCTTTATGACCACTGTTGGGTAAATGAGCAATGGTCATATGATTATGCTGACACCCCAGCATGCATTTGGTAGACCTGTGGTTAACTCGTTCCCTCTCCATGTGTCTGCTCTTACAAAGTTTTGTCCTCATGATACTGTGCTTTCATTCTGCCAGTATGTGCCCAAAAGGCTGCCTTTGTTCTCATTCTGGAGGCTTAAATGTCAGTTGTAGCAATGCAAATCTCAAGGAAATACCCAGAGATCTTCCTCCAGAAACAGTCTTACTTTATTTGGACTCCAACCAGATAACATCCATCCCAAATGAAATTTTTAAGGACTTGCATCAACTGAGAGTCCTCAATTTATCCAAAAATGGCATTGAATTTATAGATGAACATGCCTTTAAGGGGGTGGCAGAAACCTTGCAGACTCTGGACTTGTCCGACAACCGGATTCAAAGTGTGCACAAAAATGCATTCAATAACTTAAAAGCCAGAGCCAGAATTGCAAACAATCCTTGGCACTGTGACTGTACGCTGCAGCAGGTCTTGAGGAGCATGGCTTCCAACCATGAGACAGCCAACAATGTCATCTGTAAGACTTCTGTGTTAGATGAACATGCTGGGAGACCATTCCTCAATGCTGCCAATGATGCTGACCTCTGTAATCTTCCTAAAAAAACTACTGATTATGCCATGTTAGTCACCATGTTTGGCTGGTTCACCATGGTGATCTCTTATGTGGTTTATTATGTGCGACAAAATCAAGAGGATGCAAGGAGGCACCTTGAGTACTTGAAATCCCTGCCAAGCAGGCAAAAGAAACCAGAAGAAGCTGATGACATTAGCACTGTGGTATAGTATCCTGAATATACTGACTGACTTTGAGATGGAAATTAGATTTGGATGACACTAAAACCAGAGGTTTACTTCTAACATTCATTGTAAACATTTAAGACTTTTTCAGTTTACCTGAATTTATGCCACTGTTGATCTTTCTAAAGGAGATTTTTGTTTGGGTGGTATACCTTAATTGTTTCTCTGGTGGTATTCTAGAGCAAGTAAACTAATATGTAAACATTAGTTAGACCCATTCCACTATTTAATAACAAAATTTATTTTTTTAATTTAAAACCAAATAAAAGCTTAACTTTGAACCATATAAAACAGAGTAATTTATTCATCAGAAACCTGTTTAGTGACCGAACCTGTTTGGTTTGTCAGTATTTATGAGGTTAAAGATAGTAATGATGCTGTGAGTCCTAACAGTTTTTATAGAAGGAGAATCCCAGGAGCTCCAGTTCACACCCAGGGGCTGCACATGATTTACTCCTGGGGAATCAAGTGAAGAGCTAATGAGTAGCCCTCTTGTTGTTTGCCTTCTAAAAGTAAAGGGGCATGGATGTGGGGAGAGCAGGTAGGCAGTCAGCCCATAAAGTTCTCATGGGCTTAAGAAGCTGAAGACATGATGAAGCCGTGAGTTGCGTTTTGACTGAGCTAAGGAGCGGCAGAAGTGAAGAAGCCTGTGCTTCAGGACACCACAACAGTGGAACAGATACGTAAGTACCAATGAGATGTGGAGTGAATAGTGTCAGACCAAACCAAAAGCACTGATAAAATATATTTAAATATTTGTGGGAACTGATTAAATGAATCAAAGTATCTGTAGTCACTTGCTGATAAATCTGTGAGAACTGCAATCTGTGCTTTTAAATTTATATAGGTACTTAATACATTCACTGTTTTCAGAAATAGGTTAGTTCCTTTACCATGCAAAAGCAAATAAAAAAATGAGGCAGGATCCTGGTCCTAAAAAGCCTACTGTTTGAGGAGGAGAGAGGGGTCATTGGTAATTTTACCACTAACCCTGAGCAAGGGGAGGCATATAGAGCCCTAAGACAGACAGTGAATCCACTTGTGTTTCCCCCCACAACACCCTTCCATTACGGGGTTATAAAATATGAGAATGAAAAGAATCTGTACAAGGGAGAACAGCAGTCTCTCTGGGACAGTTCTTCTCCTTTCGACACCTGTGGACAGATGGGAGTGTGGGGTAGATGAAGATTTTGCTCTATCCCACTTCACACTCCAGCCAGCAAAGTTGAGCCAGGATACAAGAAGTAATCTGCACCTTACGCCCCCTTACTGCAAGCTGTCTCCCAAATGGCTGGAAAAAATACTCCGCTTGTCAATGTAAACACCCAAAATGCTACTACATCCTGACTGAGCACAATTGCTGTAATATATAGGACATACCGTATTTTAAAGTAACATTGGAAAGAACAAATTCCAGATAATTCCAAAGAACAAGTTTGGGTTTTTTTCTGAACTATTGCACACTGGGTTTGGAAATGTTGGCCATTGTGTTTAAAAGGGAAGGCAGGAAAATTAATATATTGTACATTCTGTTTGGTTTATTTTGAGGTATACATATACATATATACATACATATATATTAGACTGATTATTTTTAGATTTGTTTCTTTGATAACTAGTTAGGAATCTATGAAGTTCACAAACATAGTCTCAGTCTTGAATATAACTTATACATTTTAAAGTTCTGTGGTCTTTGGTTGCCTACATACGTTACTGGTGTTTATACACGTGCTTTGGAAGTGGTGGGGGGGGAGGGAGGCATTTTAATTAGAGTGACTGCAAGAGCTGCTCTAATTAAAGCACCTGGAGCATCTCATGCATCAGCCTCCCACACTGAAAAATCGTGGTGGGGATGCTTTAAAGCTCGTTGAACAAGCTTTTGTTAAAGTGCCCCCACTGGCATTTTTCAGTGCAGGGACGCTAATTCACATGATGGTGGAGTTTGCTGGAGCACAGTAATTACTGTGCTTCAGCAGACTTGGTTAATCACGTCTGCTCCAATGTGCTGCAATTACAGTGCATCAGAGCAGCCTCACTGCACATGTATAGGTGCCCTACATTCGTGCCAAAAGAAAAGCCTACAAAATGAGAGCATGCAGCTGTTCAAGGGCTTTTTTTGCAAAAGAAAAATGGCTCTTCCACAAAAAAGTTCTACCTCTTCCCAACAGGAAGGACTCTCCCTTCCTGCACTAATTTGAATGGCTGTATGCTTCCCTTGGGTGTTGAGGACGCCCAGAATCCCACTGTCCTTTGCTTTCCCTCTCTCACAAAGGAGGGAGAGCACTGACCCCCTGACACCATGTCTTGGGGGGCAAGCTGTCAGGGATCCCTGTGATCAGGGTGGGGAGGAACCTTGCCCCCTTCCCAGGCAGGGGAGCAGACAGGATCTCAAGTTATGGGTTCTGGTAAGGGTGGGGTGATCAGCCTTCTAGTGCCTTCTGGCTGCAGAACTTGCCTGTGTATTCTCCAAACTTGTGTATGCTCCAGCTCCCATGGTTTTTTTTCTCATAAAAATGAAAACCTGTTTGTGGCCTTTGAAAGCATCATGGTTTCCTTTTTGTCATACAAAACAAATTTTATCAGAATGCATTCCTGTTGTCTGTCTTCAAAGTAAAGCAGTAAAAAGGGCCCTTATGGGTCCAATTTTCCTGAGCCTGGAAAGATTTGTGGCTATAGAGAGTTAAATCTCTACAGACTTTGGATTTAAAAAAGCATTGTGTTGAAAGAAAAAAAGTGGATTGAACAACAAAATGGCTGTTTCTCCCCTAGGATTATAAGAACATCAATTATTTCTGTTAAAGCACATTTTATATTCTTGTAAAATCTATGGAGCTCAAGATTGTTTATGCCTTCTGTGGAGGTTTATTAACTCTCTTTATCTGAGTTGTTGTTTGAAAGAAAGTAATCTCTAAAATAAAATGAATGTAGACATAGCTGACAAAAGGGGAAAAAAGAACTTCTGCCTCTTAATTTGGTTGGAAAGCATGCATGAATGATTCTGGGGCCGAATCCTGAGCTCTTGCTATTCCTATTCAGCAATTCTCTGCATACTTGGCCTGTTACATTTTTAGGCATCTTTAGTGGATCAGTTTTGGACAATTACTGAATTATTAGGCATTCTAAATGTTGCCGTTTTCTCAAGAGATCAAGCTGTCATCTGTTAAGCTAGCAACATTGATTCTTTTAATAGATCTATTGATAAACGAAATTTTACAGAGCAATCCAGGTTAATTTAGACACATACCATTTGGCTGAATTGTTAGAGGTTTGTGTCTTTTTCCAAAGATTTTTTACTGCACTTAGATTCCACATCCATTCTCATTACTGCTGCAAGCTTGAAACAGGTTATAGAAATAATTCAGAGTGATAGGGAGAAATTCAAATAATGCATCTGAAGAAAACAGATAAAACTGTATGCTCATGTACAAAAGCATGTCAAAATACGATGTGCCTCTTAAGGCAGACCATCCATATTGCCAGGAAAATGTCAGGCTAAATTTACCTCTGGTGTGATTTAACTGAAGCCATCTAGGTTTTGCCATGTTTTTATTGCTGCCTCACCCAGCAGTATATTGAAATAAAATACTTTTGAAAATCTTTGGGGAAAGGAAAACAAAATTCAGTGAACTGAAGACACAGGACTAATATATAGCTCAACTCTTTTATGTATAAATTTATATTGAACAGTTTTGGTATACTGTGAAAAGAAATCATTTGAACAGCAAAATAGCAAAGGTCTCACCAAACCTTGTTAGACAATTGTAAAAGTCCTTCAGTCCAGCAAATAGTACTGTGCAGGTTTTTTCCCTCTGTTTTCCTCCCTTCACAAATCTGTGACTAAACAAATCCCTTTCCTTTTATTTCTTCCTCCTCCTTTCTGTAGTATGTACAATTCAGTCTCCAGAAAACCGGTCCTGGTGCTGCTATAGTTTTAAATCGAGATCTGACTCTCTTTTTACAATCTCCCCTCCAGCATGCAAATGAAGTTACACTGTGCTTTGCAAAAAGGCTTTGTGCAGATGGTCTCATATTGATTCTTCCTGAATGGATTCCGTATCAAATTTACTATGGTTACAAGTAAAAAGGTGCCCTTTATTTAAATGCCAGTACTGAAAACTAAGGTCCAAAAATTCAATCAGAGCTATCTCTGGCAATCCATATAAAAATGCTGCAAGTGGAATGTAGCTGGCAAGGAAAAGAAAACCCGTTCTCTCTAGCTGGGCAGCCTCAGGGAGGCCAGTAGCTCTAAAAATTCCATTTGAGTCGCATCTGCTTATTTTACAGAAAAGAAATGCAAAAGAGGGCAGAAGGTCTGTTGAATATGAAGAAGCTGTTTGCATGAAGTCACTTTTCTGACCATAACTGTCCTGTAAGAGAAAACCCATGAAGTAGAATCTTCTTGACCATGGCACTCTCTCTCCATGGCCATGTTACTTCAGATCTGTTGCTGCTGGAGGGAAGCTGCCAGAGGCCTAATTTTTGTCCTTGGACTTTTGTACCTAGAGGGAAGTGATAACTTAAGGATATTTTTATACAACTGCTGATTCTTATCTCACAATGTCCAATGACCATTTTCTAATGTTTATCATGTGTAGTGATGAGTACTACAAGCAGGTATTCAGGACCCTGTGGTTTAAGCATATACTGTGTATTTTTTTCACCAGGGCATAATTTGTTTGATTCTGTTTTTATACAGGATTAGCTAACTGCCAGATGTGCTTATTTTTAATATTAAATTGTCAGGCTTTTTTACTGTAATTTATTTTTAAAAAATACAATGTAAAACATTTCACAGGCTTCTTTTTTTTTAGTTATCTAGGAGAGAGAGATTGTCTTTGAACCCTGCTTAATTTTTAATTTTATTTTTGCAACCTGGTCAAACCCAAATACCGTGGAAGTAGAAAATAGAGGTAGGACCCATAGAAGTGGCATAAGTAACTGGCTTCTGGGAGTGGTCGTCCTTGGAGAGGAAAGAATCCTTATGCTGGATGTCAATATGTTGCTTTATAGATCAAAGTGGATCAGATTTGACTGTTTCTTAAAAGGATTCTGAGACTGCCATCAGTATGATATAAACTATAAAGGGGAAAAAATGGAAAACTGTGTGGTAATCCTTTTTTTTTAATGCACCGGATCCTCTATTGACGGGTTCCAGAAGAGCTTTGTGATGGCTGAGAGGTCACCAGCAGAATACAAGCTGTTGCTCCAAGGAGGGTTCAATAGGTAAAAAACAGAAAGTGGTGGTTGGAAAGAATTATTAGATTTATGCTGAATTGTCTTTGCTAGACTAAAGGAACCATCATTGTTTTGATATGGCAGGGATTTTCATAACTTCATTTGCAAATCACCTTTCATGTGCAACTTTCATTTGGAATGCTATAATAATAATACAGTCTAAAGAGATACTGATTATGAATGACTGCTTAGTGACTTCTTGCCCTTCATGTAAGAACCTGTAAAGGAGGAGAACTAATTAAGAAATGTGCTGTCAGAACTTCTAAGTGATATAAGAAGGGGTGGTATTATATCATATATTTGTGGGTGGGTGG